ATATTGAAAAACATCCACATTATTACCTAGTAAATGCTGACACCTTGAATGGAAAATTAAGCCAAAGCCAGTTTTGGGGAATTGTTTAATGAAGGGGTACCTGTGTTCCATAGTGGCTTCTGATGGTAAATGTTCTTTGTGTTTTGTGTTTGTTTTGTGTTGCATTACTTATGTTGAAATAAATGATAGGCAAGATGATGATGGTATGCACGTGTCTTAAATATCATGGTCCAGTAGCTGATCAATCAATAAGTAACTTAATTTGGAACCAACTTAGAGCCCGGCGGAAGCTCATAGCCTACTTTTTGTTGGCAAACATCTCCTCTCTTTTGAAACAGTTCAAATGGGCACTGGTTTTGCACTGTGATTCCCACAAAAATATGGTAGAGAGTGCTTTTGGGATTCTAGATGTCTTTAAAATGACTGCTTAACAGGAATTGAAAAATTTAAACAAGATGAGTGCCTGCTGACTTGCATTAGTGGGTGTTTTGCTGATAACCCGTCTGGTATGAAGTGGTCTTCGAGATGTTCCCAGAATGTCTGGGATTTAAATCATGTTGATTATGTGGTCAGAATTGGAACTGAGAGATGCAGCTTTAGAGAAACTTGCTGCTTATATTGGTGGGAAATCTCATCCAGCGAGAGGATTAAAATAAAACCATTAACAAAAAAGGGTGTGATGCTAATTCCCATTTGTTTACTAAATTAATACTTCTCATAGGAGAAGCAATGGCTATTTTGAAATTTGTGGTCTTGGCACGTATTGCCTATATATTTATGTAGCTGATATTTTCTTTCACAAAATATGCCCTTTAAAAGCTTCGTATCAAGGGCTTCTCCAGAGGCTACAGGTGGTAGGACAGGTTTGGCAGCCGTGATTGTGTAAGGTGTGTTTTCCGCATGCTGCTCCGCCCTTAATATGCTTGGGAGAGTAATTACAGCTTCCCAGGAAGAGTCCTTGGCCCTGTAAGTTTCTTAGCTTTCTTTCCAACAGGACGACTCATCAGCACCCAGAGCTGCATGGCTGGAAGAAGCAGTAGCCCTGACTATAGTGCAGTGATGGCGAACCTATGACACGCGTGTCAGAGGTGACACGCGAACTCATTTTTTTTTTGGTTGATTTTTCTTTGTTAAATGGCATTTATACATATAAAATAAAGATCAAAAATATAAATCTTTGTTTTACTATGGTTGCAAATATCAAAAAATTTCTATATGTGACACGGCACCAGAGTTAAGTTAGGGTTTTTCAAAATGCTGACACGCTGAGCTCAAAAGGTTCGCCATCACTGCGTATAGTGTGTAGTCTTCTTCATCTTCTTTTTTTTGAAAGGGTCAAATGTTTTCATGTATCATTTGTGTAATGTGAAGTGGGTTGGGCAAATATTTCTTTCCCTTTAAAAGTAGGGGATGGAGCAGTGACTTATCAGAAGTTTGTAGCCCAACTGGCGTGGCTCAGTGGTTGAGCATCGACCTATGAACCAGGAGGTCACAGCACATGCTCAGGTTGCGGGCTTGATCCCCAATGTGGGGTGTGCAGGAGGCAGCCGATCAATGATTCTCTCTCATCATTTATGTTTCTATCTCTCTCCTTCTCCCTTCCTCTCTGGGAAAAAAAAGTCTGTCAATACCTGTTCAGGATTGAATCGCAGGTATCATCTGATGTACGTCTCAGGTGGTAATGATTTCACTTAATTGTATTAAAAACTATGGAAAGGGACAAGGAAGAGGAAAATAGGCAAGTTTTTTTTTTAAATAGCCAAGTTTTTATAGAAGGCAAGGTGTGGATCTTGACTACATAGTGATTATTCCTGTTGGTGTTGACTTTTGATAACTCAAGTGGGAAACGCGTGGCCTAGAGTTCCTGTGACTCACCTCATTACATAAAATGTGTCACACCTCAAATAACATTCTAATGAGTAAGGCTCAGAATTATTGAAAACGCAGTGAGTAATTGTTAGGTTAGAACTACTAGACAAACACTTGTTCTTTGAAAATTCTTAAATTTCGTTCAGTATTTTGAATTCTTAAAATAAAGATGGGTTCACATTTTAAAGCATGATTTAATTTTTTTGGAGCAAACTGTCTTCGCTATATTTTGAGGTCCTTTATAGATCTCTATAATTTTTACAGTTTCCAGGACACAGAAGGTAGTCTAGTGGATTTTTATCCTTTAGCTATAAGAGACACAGAAAATTGACCTAAATCTGATGGATTCTGATCTCTCTTGCCTGTTGTTTTAAAAAATATTAATTGTATATCTATGACACAGGAAACACCTGTGGTTGTTACAGAATATTAATAATAAAAAATAAACATTGATATTAGCTATAATTCTACCACTTAGAAATAATTATTTAATATTTATTTATATAATGCATACTTACAGAGTTATAGTAATTGGGATCCTACTCATGTATTATTTAATGAATTGCTTTATAACTAATGCATTAAGGGTTCTTTACAAGTAAATCTACTTTCATAACATGAGCTTAAATTTCATGCAAACTTCTGTTTTACAGTTATATCGTAATGTGATCAGCTTCTTATTGTTGGGCATTCAGGCAGTTTGTAATTGTTGCTATTATACTCAGTGTTGTGAAGCCGTCCTTCTTATGTCTTGTTCTCTTGTTGTCATGGTGTACATTCCTAGATCTGGACATAATATGTCTGGAAGAAGCATATTCAATACTTCAGATGCATATCACAAATTGCCTTCTAGAATTGTGGTATCATTTTATATCACCTTTGCTATTGTACAGAACATGCCAGATTCCCATAAACTCACAATATAGGCTGTTATTTAAAAATCTTTGTTTACTTTTTATCGTCTTCTTTATAAACAGTATAAATTGGTCTGGTATTATAGCATAATTATTTAGATTTGGTAAGTATAAGTGTACAAGAGTACATTAATATTTTGATATCTGGAGGAGGGTGGTCTAAATCTACTATGGCTTTGACTTTCTAGAGTTTTTTTGGGGAAAATGAAACTTTCTGGATAGTTGGGTTTTCTGAATAGCTCTGTAAATTCCATTATTTCTGTCTTATCAATTAATATTCTGATTATATGGTACAGAGGTATTCCTTTGAGGGTTAATTATTGGAGTGTGTTGTCAGAGTGTTACCTTGAAGGTCAATACATGTAATGACGTTAAGCATATACTGCAGTTAACTACCCTCAGCTATTTGATTGCACAGTATCTTGATCTTTACAAGCTAATAAGTAGGTGATATTTTCCTTGTTTCAGATCAGTAGACTGGAGTTCAGAGAGGTTATTTAACTTGCTTAAGACCACACAGCTATTAGGTAATGAAAGTGGGATTTGAATATACTTTTGCCTGAGGTGAGCCCTTTCTCTTTCCATTTCGTCACTTGCTACACTTTTCCCTCTGGATTGGACCATTGTTTGCAGGACATAGCTCTTTTTATCTTCTAAACCACTGCTTCTAATCTACATTGATTTGGAAAAATAACTGCTAGATCCTTTCAGAGTAGGACAATTAAGTATTGGTGGCTCTCAGTGGCTTTCCTATGACTAGAGAAAATGGACTTTGATGTTCCTGGGCCCTTTTATGCTTTTTTGGCTTGTATAGGAGTTCCCAGAAAGATTAGATATCACTGTTTTCACTGGTTGGGATCAATGCTCATCCTGAGTTTGTATTGGGTCTATTTGGGGAAAATTAGAGTTTGTGCTGCACAGATTACCTGAGATAATCCATGGGCCACTCAAGGTTATCTCCCCCACAGACGTACCATTCTGTTTGCATTTACTGTGCTTTTAAACTTTGTCTTTTACTTACGCGGCTGTGAACTTCTTGAGGGAAGAATCCCCCGCCATGTACAGGATGCTCCTGTTTTTCTGTGTGTCACCTCCTAGCCTTGGCTTTTGTCCATATTTATAGAACCATCTCGTGAGAAACTAACTTTAATTCTAAAATTACCCATTGTTTTGTCAGTTAACAGGTAGTATGTCTAGCTTAAAGCTATGTTGGGCATTGTGGAAAAGATGCAGAAGACATAATAGGGATTCTAGGTGGACAGTAAAGCTAGCAGTGGTGAATAAGAACAGAGGGGCACTGTGGCTCACCTAGGATTTAAGATGAATTACTTCCAAAACAATCCCCAAGATTATATTTCTTCCTGAAGTGGCAGGTGGAACAAGGACTCCTGCTAGCAGATGGTGGTTCTCTTGCCCACACCCTTAGCTGGGGATCCAGTCCCAAGAGTTGCTCTTGGAGCAGTCCCCCCCCCCCCCCCCACTGTTTTCTCTGCTACTGCTTCCCCTATGGAACTCCCTTCCCTCTCATCTCCGCTATCCTCAAGAAACAGAATCTGGAGAGATTTTCCCAGCAGTTTTACTAAGAACATTGATGGTGGTAACCTTAGGTGGCGTGCTCATATATAAGAGTCTTAAGTGGTGCATCATCTGCTTGAAATTCTTACCGTCTACCCTCTCTCAATCTTTTGTTTCTCTGTGTTAGGATTTAACAGTCTTCTCCCTCGGATTTTAAGTAAATAGCTCTTTACACAGACCATTTCATGAATACATTTAAGGAGCGTCAGGCCCTCTGCTATTTATCTTTGTAATGAAATGCGAGGAATTTAAGGATGGAATTGAAATTAATTATGTGCATATATAGTTGGTGTTTCAAGTTTATTTACTGTTTTTATTTACTTTTAGTAAAATAGATCACCCATAGATTTTTAAATACAAAATATGCTCAAAATTTAGCTTCCAACTTTTATTATCCATAAAATGGTTACATTACAGAAAATGCTCATTGTGGGTTTTTTTTTCCCTGTTTATATTTTTTCATACTGAAGTGGTTAACCTCTCTCTTTGTAACATGGAGCCTCATATAATTTCTTTTGTGGAACAGCTTTTGATATATGCACATCCTTCAGTGATAATATTAGAATCATATCACTTAATCTGAATTTGACTTGTGTCTTATTCTTGGTTAAAAGAAAATTAATACCCAAATCTGTCTTTCAGGCAGTAACAGAGAAGAATTTTGAAACAAAGGATTTTCGAGCCTCTCTAGAGAATGGTGTTCTGTTGTGTGAGTAAGTATTTAAAGCATTTACAAACAATTTAAAAGCAAAGGTGTGTGTGTGTGTGTGTGTGTGTGTGTGTGTGTGTGCATGTTATGAAGAATGTCTACTTTCACTTCCTTCTCCATGGCTAGCTACAATAGTCACAGATATGTTTTCTTGGTAACAAGTGAGATTTGATCCCTGCAAATTGACACCCCATAGTTCCAGACAGTAAGAAGGGGTTATCACTCTCTGTATCTAAAGATAGCATTGATGAAATATATATTATTTTAAATTAGTAAACAAGAAAGATTCTATTATTGTTTGATGGGCCAGTAGGGGTGGGTGGTTGAGGAGAAAGCCTTATTACATTGTACCACCTGTCACTTACGCAGATTATTTTAATGTATGGAATTGCCTGTATTAGAAGTTTATATAAAACTTTTTTCTTTTATCCATAAATAGTAATGATTGTAGAACAAACTTAGGCAGTAGCAAATGTTTCTTCTAAGCTGTAAGTGGAGTCATTACATTACCACAATCAATTGGAGTCATGGGCCATTCATTTAATTAACATATATTGAGAATCACATCCTAGGCTTTGGTTGTCTTTAAGTAAAATAGTCTTGTGCCATGATAGATGGTATGAAGCCTACATTGTGTGTTTAGCGTAGTGGTTTGTTCCTCAATGGATGTGTAGTACAGTTAGCTAGGTATGTGACCTTTGGGGGTAAAGGGCAGGTCGGCCTATGGGATGTAAGGATGAACGTGTGAGGGTACAGGTTGCAGAAGTGAGTCAATAAATTATAAGAATGTACTTGAGTACAGCTTTGAAAGCATTTAAGTGTTTCAATGTAGACACTTACTGCATAGGTATTGATGGAATCTGTCCACAAATAAGCATTGGGAGTGTATGTGTTTTCACTTAGATGATTTTGATTATTCTTCTAAAGGAAGGTTGTTTGCAGCAAACAGAAGGAGTCAAAGGGTGTAGGTTTGATTCCTTGCTCCATTACTTTTGGACATTTGAGCAAGTAACTTAACATCCGAGCCTTATTTTCTCACCTGTAAAGTGGAGGTCAGGATATCTAATCTGCCTACTTTACAGGGTTGCAAAGTTCCGTAAGATATATGGAACTTTATAGGTTTTTGTAAACTATCAAACTGTGTAGAAATACATAGGTTGGTGGACATGTAGATAACAATCTGATTTTATCAGCTCTGTTGATGGGTGTTTGAACTTCTGTAGAGCAATATTATTGTTAAGCCATATCAAGTTTTTGCTATTCAACCATCTGTGACCTATAGAAATGTCACTTTCATGTGGTTCCAGCTGATATGTTGTAGGATAGGCACATGAAGAAGGGCCACAGGAAGGTTTCAGGGATGCATCTGAACCTCTTCTGATGTCACATTCTGAATTGTTGCTAAATAGTGTTAAACTAATTTTAGTAGGTGATATGGTCAGCCCAATTGGTCACAGATTGGAAATTACTTTGTTTGGATTTGAAAACTATATGATTTAAACTAGAGCCCTAGTGCACGAAAATTGTGCACAGGGAGTGTGTGTCCCTCAGCCCAGCCTGCACCCTCTCCAATCTGGGACCCCTCTCACAATCCAGGACTGCTGGCTCCCAACCGCTTGCCTGCCTGCCTGACTGCCTGCCTAATTGCCCCTAACCACTTCTGCCTGCCAGCCTAATAACCCCCTAACCCAGGGGTGGGCAAACTTTTTGACTCCAGGGCCACAGTGGGTTCTTAAACTGGACCGTAGGGCCGGAACAAAAGCATGGATGGAGTGTTTGTGTGAACTAATATAAATTCAAAGTAAACATCATTACATAAAAGGGTACGGTCTTTTTTTTTTTTAGTTTTATTCATTTCAAACAGGCCGGATCCGACCCGTGGGCCGTAGTTTGCCCATGGCTGCCCTAACCACTCCCCTGTCAGCCTAATTGACGCCTAACTGCTCCCATGAAAGCCTGATTGCCCCTAACTGCCCTCCCCTGCCAGCCTTGTCATCCCTAACTGCCCTCCCCTGCCGGCCTGGTCACCCCCAACTGCCCTCCCCTGCTGGCCTGGTCACCCCCACTGCCCTCTTCTGTTGGCCTGGTTCCCCCCAACTACCCTCCCCTGCAGGCCTTGTCCCTCCCAACTGCCCTCCCCTGCCGGCCTGGTCACCCCTAACTGCCCTCCCCTGCAGGCCTGATCGCCCACAACTGCCCTCCTCAGCTGGCCTTCTTGTGGTGGCTATTTTGTGTCCACATGGGGGTGGCCATCTTTGACCACATGGGGTGGCCATCTTGTGTGTTGGAGTGATGGTCAATTTGCATATTAACTCTTTATTATATGGGATGCGTTCTATTGTGTTCAGAACATGAAAGGACAAAAATGATTGTTAGAAAGTCGCCTGTGATCTGAAAACTACTTTGCTATGAGTATAGACTAGTGATTTTCAACCTTTTTCATTTCAGGGCACATACATACTAATGACTAAAATTCTGCAGCACAACAAAAAAATACTTTTGCTGACCTGACCAAAAAATAAGTATAATTTTGATTCATTCACACTGTATGGCTATTGTGTTGGTTTTTGTCATTTTCTCATTTGACAATCTAAGGGAAAAGAGGTCAGTGCCCCTGACTAAAAAGTCAGGTATTGTATGTGTTTTTTTTTTTTTTTTAAATATATTTTATTGATTTTTTACAGAGAGGAAGGGAGAGAGATAGAGAGCTAGAAACATCGATGAGAGAGAAACATCGATCAGCTGCCTCCTGCACATCTCCCACTGGGGATGTGCTCACAACCCAGGTACATGCCCTTGACCGGAATCGAACCCGGGACCCTTCAGTCTGCAGGCTGACGCTCTATCCACTGAGCCAAACCGGTTTCGGCGTATTGTATGTTTTAAAAATTATTGTGGCACACCGATATTGAAAATCACTGGTATAGACTATTTAGTGGTTCACAGCTAAATAACTTTGATGTCAATTGTAAGCCCCACAGACAGGATAGGAATTAGGCAGGTTTATGTAGGAAGTGTGCTTATGAGTTATGGAATTGTTTTCAGACGTATGACAGCATATAGTCCAAATAGGTGATGTTTTCAAAGAAGTCACTTTGTGGTTATATACTTCCAGTGATGAACTATTATTCAAAATATTTTTTAGAGAGTTCCCCCCATTTGGGGCATTGCTTCCATAACTAGGTCATTAAGCATACTTGATAGTGATGCTGTTTTTTTTTATTTTTTTTATTTAAAATGCAATTTAGGCACCAGCCTGGGGTCTGAGTGACTTGAGGTAATTTCTGAAAACTATATCCAACCTATTTCTAGTGAGAATATTCAGAGTTGATGGAAAACTATTTTGACCACAAGCAGTACTTTTAGAATAAATATATAAGTTCTACTTTAATGATCACAGCAAACATTCTAACATTCTGATGAATGTTTAGAGACATAATGGCTTTTGACCTGGAGAGCATTATGTTAAGTGAAAGACAAGTACCATGTGATTTCACTCAGATGTGGAATCTAAGGAACAAAATGAACTAACAAGCAACACAGAGACTCAGATATAGAGCAGGCTGACAGCTGGGGGTGGGGTGTTTGGAGGGCTGAGGTTTGTGGTGGAGGGAATGAGCAAAAAAAAAAAAGAAAAGAGCAACAACTCATAGACACAGACAACAGTGTGGTGATTGCTGGGGTAGGGTGAGTGGGAAAATGTGGAGGAGGGTTTAGGCGCGATAAATGGTCATGGAAGGAGACTTGACTTGGGGTGGTGAACACACAATACAGTATATAGATAATGTGTTGTGGAATTATGCACCTGTAAACTGTACAATTTTGTTAACCAATACCACCCCAATAAATTAAATAAAAATGAAAAAAAGTCACTTTAATTCACAACTTCCAAAAGCTCATTCTTAGATTGTCTCCTAATTGAAATAACACCAGTTTGAGGTATGGTGCATTACCATGTAAGCCTAATCAATCTGTTTAGTACCTAGTATTCTTCAAATGAATGTTTTTCAAAAGGCGCCTAAGTAAACATTCAGCTGCGATAATCAGCAATTGTAGTTTCTGTGGGACACTGCATGATATTTGTATTAAAATAATCTTTCTCTTAATTGTGAGTCACATGTATAGCCATTGGTTAATGGAGATAATATTAATCTAAAAGGTGTAGTGTTGGGAAAAAAGTCCAGGTGACTATTCTGTATAAATCCAAAACTGAAGAAAACTTACCTGGTTGGCCTGTTAGCAGGCATTCCTCTGTTTGATCACAGCTATACCTGAGTTATAATGCCTACAAGGAAAGCAAAATCAGTTGTTCAGAAGCCAGATATTAAAAGCCCAGACTTTTAAATAAATGGTAAATCTTGTAAGCTGTATGTCTTTGAGGGCTTTTTATTAGAGCTCTTTCTGGCATTGAATTTCCTGGGAATAGTTGCTTCCATATGGCTCTCCAGCATAAATATTGACCCTGATCCATATGACAGCCATTGAAATTTAAGTAATAAAAACTATTTTTTCTTAAAGTAATATAAACTTTGATGTTTTCCATATTATTTGATAACCTAACAGTACATAAACAAAGATACAAGTGTTCAATTTCATATAGATAATTAAAAAATTTAAACTTTTTTTTTCATGGCAGTATTTTATGGTTATCATCTGTATGCTTTCTTTTTCAGCTTCATGGTCAATATCCCCACCCCACCCCCGCCCCCATAATTTTATATCTATATGTAGCAAGAACATCATTCAAAAAAGAGTAGTATAAAAGTTGAAGGTGAGCTTGGAAAACATTAATTTTAAAAATTACTTCTGCTAAGGCAATCGCACTGTACAGGCTCATTGCTAATTTTGTAGAAGTCTTTTATATTGTGGCCTCAAACTTGAAGGTAGAAAGCTTATGTATGTTTTATGAACCTGCATGTACCGTCTACAGGGCTTTCTCACCCTAAACGTAAGTTACCAAAAGGAGAACTTAAAAGATTTCAGTGGTGGGGCCTCTGAGAAATA